TTCCTCCCTACCGCTATATTTTAGAAGACTGAAATTTTGTATGTGGGTTCGGTTTATGTTATTGATGTGCGATGAGAGAAGATTTTTGAATATTCCAACTGAGGCTTCCTCACTGGAGATAAAAGGGGCGCATTACCAAATGAGAGTCTCTGTTATTCGTTCATGAACTCGGAAGGAGAATAGGCCAAGCAACGAAAGATCACTGTTCTACCTCTTTTTTGATAGAAAGAATTAGTATTGCTATTCAACGTGATAATGCTGCTTGAGTCCTTGGAACTATTTCTCCTTCACATATTTTTGATGAAATCATGCATTGCCCTCATTTCAATACGGAACTGAAACAAGCCGAGATATGTGGATGTTCATTAGTCTCCTACTCCTATCAAGGTTAATTCGCAAGTGATTGATCCACCTTTTTCTTTTTCAATGCGGTCAATGGACTTAGGTCATTCTTGCCCCTCAAATATGAGTTGCAGTTCTCGTGGTCCTGGTTCCTTTTCAGTGGAAGAGCTTCATGAAGCAAGAGCCAACTCGAGCCCTCTACGAAATCCTTCATTACTTGGAAGGATGGATTGCAGCTTGAAAAATGGTTCTTATGCAGATTCTGTGAAACATGTGCTTCTTCACGAATCAGTAGATAGTTGTCCTGAAAATCTTGAGAAGAAAATTGGATTAGATAATTTACGAAACACATGCTACATGAATAGCATTTTACGAGTGTTGTCCATGACGAAGAATTTCAAGAACGAGGTTTTAATGATAAATAAGAATGTTTCCTAGCTATTCACCAAACTCGAACACTTGTTCATGCAGCTACAGTGTCGTAAGAATATATCATCTTTCCCTCCAACCGATTTCCTAGAGTCTTTGAAATCTACTAGATACTCGTTAAGACAACAACAGGATTGTTCCTAATTCTTGGGAGCAGAATCAATACTCCTGACCACTCTGGATTGAATGATTCCGTACAGTTTACCTCGTCTTGTGTTTGTAAATCTTTTGCTGATAAAATCCTCACTCGTTCACTTTGTAGTAAATGTTCAAGAGGTAGCAAAAACGTATGTGAATTTCTGGAACTTTAACTAGCGTTTCCTAATATGACTAATGACCAATCCGTGCAAAGCTTATTGTTAAATCATCTGAAAATGGAACTTTTAACAGGTGAGGATCGACTGTATTGCCAAACATGCGCCAAACTAACTGATGACTATTATAAGAAAAGAAGTATAGCTTAGACACTAGTCAATCTAATAATAACACTGATGATCTTCAAACATGACTCAACCTCTGACGGAAGCACCAAACTCTTACGAAGGTTCGAAATAAATGAACATTTCAATCTATCAGACCATTGTTATAATCTGCATGTCATCGTTCACTGTAGTTCTGGCGTTGAATCTGGTCATTATTACGCCTTGGTCAAAGACGAAAAGGACTGGTTTAAATATAAAGACCATTTGTTCAACTGAAATTAAATTAAATTATTCATATATTGTAAGGAATGCTAAACTCTTTAGGTGAGGTGTTTGTTCGTATCTATATTATAATATCATGATGTATAGGAATCATAGTTTTATTTTTGTTTTTCTTTTCCTTTTTATTCGTTCTCTTTTTAGGGTTAAGTCGAAGAACATTTTCCGTGATGTATTTTATTACGGACGATGAACTTCACCCTTTATTTCAATTGCTAGTTGAATATACTCGTATAGGTCATGTTGAGTTTTTGTTTTGTTCATTGAATAATAAAGGCGAAAGTATTATTATTAAATCAACTTTTTTGGTTCAGTTTGGCAGCTCCGGTCCTGTTGTTGACCTTGACGAAGACTCCTTTCTTATCTCGACGATACCATTGAATTTTGAACAATCTCTATCGTGTGGAAGTGCAATTATTTACTCATCGACAATGGTGTGCATCTTGGTCGGGGTTATATAAAACATAAACATTTTGGTGAACAGTGAGGACCGATTAAGGTAATCAACAAATACAAACTAAATTCACGAAACTTTAAAAAAATCAATCTAGCATAATAGTGTGTGTTATTTTTGAGAACGGTAAGTGAATTAATAAATGATTATTATATTCATATAACTGAATTCAGTTTGTATTCCTAAAATTCATTATGGAATTGAATCAGATATCATCCGAAGGATTCCTACATAATATCTTTGTATATGGACTGTCCTAGTTCGCACAGTCAAGCGCCAACTAGTCAAAGTCAAAACACTCTATACTTATTCAATTTAGTGACCGTACAGATATACCCTCTAGAGACTACATAATGCGAATTGCATTAAAGTGAAAATATGGAAATCTACACATTCATTTGAACCATAAATCATAAAGTTTTAACATGTCGAGAGACTAATTGCTAGCAAATGTTCTTCATAAAATGTCTATTATAGGGATATACCTGACAAATACGTCTAGACACATGCGTAATGTCTGAAGGTAGACATATTGAACATTTACTATGATTTCTACATGTTGTGTGTTTTGTTATTAATGAATTATTTTTGTTTATTACCCTTTAATCTTTTAATACAGGTACTAACTACAAAATAACAATAAATCCAGTTCCCATTTATGACGATGTATCTCTGTAGTTGTTCGTAAAATACTTTTTTGCTGCGAACTGGTTTATTTTGGGCAAAAAACCCAAGAAACATTTTTTGTTTGGCTACCTACCGGAAATGAGTTTTTAAATGGTAAACAAATGATAAGATAAAAAGTTACATTGGAAATAAATTTTAGGGGTTGCGTTTTCCACCCCTTACAACCATGGGGTGAACCAAATAAATTACTGGCTAAGTGTCTTTTTGGTAGTACAAAACGTCAGGTTAATTTCAATGTTGTAACTTTTTTAGTGATTGTGAAAAACATTGTTATACAAATTTTATGTACCCCCTTTAAGGGGCTGTCTCTTAACAAGGGATGATCCAATGAAGATTCTTTATATGAAAGATCCTATCTTTTTTCGATGAGGAATCACCTCCTTGAATGTTTTATACTTATTCAGTTACACCCTGTATATTTTGTCTACATTTGCCATATTGGGATTGGCTACCATAATGAAAATAAATGAAAAATTCAATTACTCTATTTCTCGGTGTTTTATTGTGAATTCAATGAATTATCAAAAAATAACATCAAATGAACGGTTTGGCTGATTTGAACATAATACCTATAGAATACATGGGGTCTCAATTGAATAATTTTCTAAAACTGAAGAAATAGTTATTTTGTTCTGGGAATAGAGGTAAATTTTATTTCACATTCGATTGGTCGCTTTGCTCAAGTTTCAATTATCTATTTTTTAACGTTAAACAGAAAATTGAAAATTTTGTTTGACTTCCTTGATGAATTTTCGTTCTATGAATTGATTGCAAGAAATAGCGCCATACAAAACAAACATAATTTTTCCTCACCAGAAAACATCAACTCATAAAACAAGTCAATAAAGGAAACCGTATGGACATCTGGGAAAACCTGAACATCCATAAATAAATGCAAAAGTCATAATTCACTTATCGAGGAACAAATACAAATCAAAATACAATAAGACCTAACATTCAATATACTCCACAAAACAATACACATTCCTAGAAACAATGAACCTAGAGAAACATCAACAGACACATCCGTTTGAAAAGAGAGGACAAATACCTGCACTAAGGCGTTCTAACCGTATAAAAGAACAAACAAGAAGATAAAACATTCAGTTTGAGTAGAGCCATGAAGATGATAGTATAGCCTACTATCGAAAGCCCTCGCATATAATAATTAGAAGATAATAAAGCTTTAAATCCTTTTTGTGAACAAATTATTATATCAGAATATTGAAAATAAAAGAAAACTAGGTTCAGAAGCGGAGCAGGCAACAGCTAGTAATTTATATTTTTACTTTAAAAATACAGTAACTGAAAAAATATGCCAACTGCACTAAGTATCCTACAGCTCGTCCTATCATGTCCGGTGGAATAGAGTTGAAAGCAGTACGAACTCTCTGCTGAAAATCTTCTTTTGTTGTTGGCGTGTTATATAACCTCAAATGAAAAAATCCATTGGAGTTAAATCGGGCGATCGCGGTGGCCATGATTGAGGACCGTCTGTTCCAAACCACTGGTCGTAATAAGTTTCTTCTGAATAAATCTTCACCATCTGATGAGGTGCTCCATCATGTTGATATCAAATTTTTCGATGGTCGGTGAGCGACACTTTTTCCAATTGATCCGAATCGAGATTTTTGAAAATATCTAGGTATCGGTCACCTGAAAATAAAAATACATGTTGGTCTGTTATGTATTTTCTAGATGCTATGAATGTTTATTACACAGCTACGTTGATCCTTGATACCTTGATGCAAAATTTAAAACCACCAAAATCTGTAACGATACGAGACTGCAAGTGAAAGCGTTACATCGCAATACAGTGAAGGTCACTATATTAACTGAGTGTGCGAGAGGGAAAACTGTATTTATACCACGAATCCCATTAATACCTAATGATATCACGTTCGAATTTAAACGATCACAGTTTTCCCTAAAAGTCTGCTTTGTCATGACAATAAACAAGTCTCAGGGGCAAATTCTCAAATTTGCGGGTATTGACTTGAGAGAACATTGCTTCTCTCGTGGACAGTTTTACGTTGCTTGCTCACGAGTAAGTTCACCCAATAGCTTGATAGTTTTAGCGCCTAATGACAGATAAGTTAAGAATATTGTGTATAAAGAAGTTTTGTAGGCCCTAATTTTTTACACACGCTAAACAAAAATAAAGCCGCAAAAACTATATCTAATTAATAATGATACTTCTTAACGCGAGAGAAGCCGCGAAGAAGTTAAAGAAATCGTGATTATTATAACCAGCACGAGCCATATTGTACCTTCTGAGAATCTGACAATAAACAACTTTATTTGTCACCAAACTGACCAAACATTGTGTTGAAAGATGGACAGCAGCCTATTAGAAATATCAACATTTCGAGAAGGTTTGGGTATAGAGAAGTGTATCATAACTAGGGCTTATTTTCATAATAGAATTGAACCTTGAGGAAAAATATGGGGGTTTTCATTTGAAAAAGTTGAGATTTTTTATTTTCTTCATTCACTTATTGGACTCTAGTTTTTGAGCACCCTGTGGATTATTCAGTGAACGTGAAAATGATGCGTGATCCGTTCAATCTTCAATTATCATGATTCACTAGCTGCATATTTTTAAAAATGACGTATGTTCGAGAGGCTGCATCTGTCACTTTTTCTAAAAAAACTCGAATAACTCGAAAACGGTTCATTTTGGAAATAGGGTATGATACCTGAGTTAGAATCTGATTCACGGGAAAAATTCAAAAATGAGGTGAAATACAGGGTATGCCATTAAAAATAACAAAGATGACGTCACTTCCGATGAAAAAGAAACGTCACCTCAACGATAATATTTCAGTTGAATTCTTCATTAGTTCTTCACCCATCCTACCAATTTTCAGAATCAGTTTTCTTTATATATATATTGCGTTAACTCGTCAAGATATACCCTGTATACATTTGTATATAGACACAAAGATATTGAGTTATTTTAAGAGTTTTGTCAATAAATATTTATTCTACTGTGTCGGGGCAGATACTGATCGGCAGATAATGCTGTTCATTTTTCAAAATTTCAATTTTTTGCCTCTTTTCAGCTTATTACTATATGATGTTCTTGAGCAATGTTCTACCAATTTTTCTCTATGAACTCAATTTGAACCAAAGTGCTGCTGGAATGGCCCGAAAAAATAATCTGGTATTTGAATGATAGTGTTAATTAACGCTCTTTTGGACGTTGCTATGCGAAATTTCGTTTTAAAGTTCTCAGCCTCCAAGACGAAGACGAATATTCAAGCAATCCAGGACGAAGACTTAAGGACCCTGATGGGGATTGACCCATATTAAACTTTTCATGGGATGGCGGAAGAACTGGGCGACAGCTTCCATGCGGTTTTGATGGTTTGAAACATATTGGAAAGGTCAAAAAGTTCAAAAAGTGGGTGCCCCACGATTTGAACAATCGACAGAAATTGTCACGTTTTGAGGTTGCTTTTGCGCAACCAAAAAGATCCTTTTTGGATCGAATCGTGACGTGTGATGAAAAGTGGATCTTCTACGACACAGGCACTTCTCAACCGGGCCAAACCCTCACAACAGAGTCCTATTGTGAGGAACTCGTCGAAATGTACTCAGCAGCCGGCACTGGTCAATAGAAGGGGTCGGATCCTGCTCCACGACAATGCCCGTCAGCACGTTCCACAAATCACTGTCCGAAAATCAAAAGAATTGAGCTGCGATGTTCTGCCTTAGCCGTCATACTCCCCAGACCTCTCGCCGACCGACAACCACTACCAAGTACTTCGATAACTTTTCCACCGGTAAAACCTTCGTCACTAAGGCAAAAACGGCCTGCATCGACTTCATCGAATCCCAAGCAGCAAATTTTTATGCTGATGGAATCAATCGACTTGTGTTACGTTGACAAAAATGCACTCATTCAAGTGACACTTATTTCGATTGCAAAGAATGAGTATTTATTGAGATATCATAGTTCAAAATAGATTCATAAAATCCTAATACATTTTGAAATTTGTAGTGTATCCGAATTGTTCAACCCTTTCTCACAAGTATCCAAATGGTTTAGAGAGACCAATCGCGTTCGCTTCTCGAACTCTCTCAAATACTGAAAAAAATTCTTCACAAATAACAAAGGAAGCACTGAGTATAGTTAGTGGGGTGCAGAAATTTAATTCATATTTATGAGGTAGACATTTCGTGCTTAGGTGCGATCATAAACCGCTCATTTGAATTTTTGGAAAGAAAAAGGGTATTCCTACTATGGCCGCTAATAGACTACAGAGATACGCTTTGTTTCTTAGTTCTTTCTTTTAATAAGTATTTGCACATTTTATTAAAACAACGATAAAAATAAAATTAAAACAGCAATAGAAATTAATTGGCGCTCCGGGGCAACTTCATTGATTCCAGTGGCGCATTTGCTTTTTCGCTGCAGGAAAACCCGGAAAAATGTAGAGGGATCGATTCGACTCTTGTTTCATGAATCTCTTCCACTGAAAGGGAACTAGTTCTACGAGGACTGCAACTCATATTTGGGGAGCAAGAATGACCTGAATCCACTGACCGCACTGAAAAAGAAGAAGGTGGATCAATCACTTGTGAATTAACCTTGATAGGAGACTGATGAATATCTCGGCTTGTTTCGAAGAGGTTTCAGTTCCGTAGTGAAATTAGGGCAACGCATGATCTCATCTAAATTATGTGAAGGGGGGATAGTTCCAAGTACTGAAGCAGCATTGCCACGTTGAATAGCAATATAGCAACTTGTGAAATCACTGACAATATAGACGAAACTCTAGCCAACTTCAACAGAGTCGTTTTGCAAGGAGCTGTGATTGCTATTGGAAAAACTTCTTTTAACCCTAAACATATTTCGGTTCCCTGGTGGAGCAATGAATGCAAACAGGCAATACGTGATAGTAAAAGAGCATTCAACAAATGTAAACGATACAAAACTACAGAAAATATAATTGAGTTCAAAAAACTCATAGCAATATCAAGAGTAACAATCAAGAATGCTAAGAGGATTTCATGGGGACAGTATATTTCGAGTATCAATAGCTCAACACCTATGACCCAAGTATGGAAAAAGGTGAGGAGTATATCGGGAGCTAATACTTACCAAGGAATCAATATCTTGAAAGTGGATAACCGAACTGTATCAGATAAACAAGAGATTGCGGAGACTCTGGCAGAAATGTATAGAGAAAACTCATCTTCCTCCCATTATGACGAATCATTCTTAGCAAAAGGAAGAGGAAGTTGAAATACCCATCGTCATAGACTATGAGGACCCCTTGAACATGCCTATAAGTAAAGAAGAATACGAAGATGCCCTCTCAACGTTCAATAATATAAGTCACGGCCCCGATGAGATCCCAGTTATTTTCATGAATAATCTCCCACATAATTTACATGAACTTCTTTTACGCATATACAACATAATATGGATAGAACACAAATTTCCATCAGCATGGCCAGAGGCGATAATTGTTCCCATCCTCAAAGTACGTAAATCAAAAACCGACCGTAACTCAAATAGACCGATCTCTCTCACATGTATGATGTGCAAAATCCTAGAGAAGATCATTAACAGAAGACTGCTATGGACCCTTGAACACGGTAATCTATTGACCCCCGAGCAAAGCTGTTTTAGACAACATCGATCCGCCAACGACAATATTCTAGATTTAGAAAGCGATATTCATGAAGCACTAGCAGTGAAACAGAAATGTTTGGCCATCTTTTTTGACATAAAAAGAGCATTTGATACTGCATGGCGATACCGTATAATGAAAATACTAGACTCATGGAAAATTAACGGGCACTGCTTCGCTTTCATCCAGAACTTTCTGAAAGTAAGAACTTTTCGCGTCAGAACAAATGAAACTTACTCGAACAGTCACACACTGGAAAATGGTACCCCACAAGGATCTGTCATTAGCCCAACACTGTTCCTTATCGTCATGAATGACATTCTAAAAGAAAATAAATCACCAATGAAAGCACGCCTTTATGCTGATGACCTGGTATTCTTCTGCAAAAACAAAAATTTAGATAGTTTATTAACATTGTCTCAGGAAGCACTCTCGAATCTAGAGCATTGGTCCAATGAAACTGGATTCATTTTCTCAACAGAAAAAACACAATGTATTCTCTTCTCCAAAAAAGAAACGGCCCTCTACCTATATGGGTAAAATCTTAAGTATGTCAAAACCATAAAGTTCTTGGGTATGATATTTGATGACAAACTAAATTGGAATGCACACATTAAAAGCCTAGACGAGTCGTGTAACAGAAGACTGAATATGTTGAAAACGTTGGCATATAAAGAGTGGGGATCTGATGGTCAAACAATACTGCACGTTTACAGAATACTCATCAGATCTAAAATGGACTTTGGATGTATTGCATACAACTCGGCGAACAAGACAACACTCAAGTTACTCGACACTATCCACAACGAAGCCTTACGAATATCTTTAGGTGCTTTCTGTACAACACCAGTTGAAAGCATCTACTGTGCAACAGGAGAGTCATCTCTCCACAACAGACGTACCTATCTCAGTTTGGCATATGCAGCAACAATAAGTGCAAATCCAACAAATCCCATGTGCAGCGAAACAACTTTAACTTTCCCCTAGACATCTACAACACTATTGGCAGAAACTGTAATATTCCAAATATTATCAAATTTCTTGAATGTATCGATATTATAACAAAATTATAAACATGTACTACTCGCTAATAACCACTAGGTTGATGCGAATTTGCTTAAATAAAAAAAATAATTCTTTCTTTTCATTTGATTTTGATATTCAGTATGTCAGCAGTAATAAAAACTGTGCGGATTTTTTGTCACGACTTCCACTTGAAAACATGACAAATGATTCTTTTACCGAGGAAGATAACTATGTGACGTTGAATTATATCACTGAGAATGAACAAGTGCCAATTGATGTGAATGTTATGAAAAATGAAACAAAATAGGATTAAATTTTGAAAGTTGTAGTGAATTATGTATTGATCGGCTGGCCGGAAAAAGTAGATATTCAGTATAAACCATTTTTCAGAAAAAAAGATGAATTATCAGTAGAGTTTTGGAAATGAAATGGGATGTATGAAAACCGTGTCAAAAAAATTTTGAAGTACATTACAAAATTGATTTTCCTTTCAGAAATCGATCATGGGAATATTATCGGTAGAAATTCTCGGCACCTTCTCAATGGTGATGCTAATATGTTTTTCCACTATCTACCTCTACTTCAATATTTCCTATCAATACTGGAAGAGAAGAGGGGTGCCTTATTTGAAACCGAAGTTCCCCACAGGCAACAGCTCATCCTTGTTCAGGAAAACCAGAGTTTTTCCTTTGGCGACCATGGATTTTTACAAAGAAATTAAAAAGAGAGGTTGGAAATTCGGAGGGGTTTACACAGTTTTGCGACCAGTTCTGGTGATTGTAGATCCAGCGTTGATGAAAAACATTCTGCTGACGGTATTTTGATTTATTTTTCATTATGGTACTGAATATTATACAAAGACAATGTATTGGAAACGCAGCATTGTTTGATTCGCTACCAATTAGATAAACTATTGAACATGCTTTTTTTATGCAAACTAGGGGAAAAGGAGGTAATAGGATTCACGTAAGCAATTAATCACATGAAACACACAATTTTTTTTCAAACTTTTTTAATCTTGCAGAACGCGCGTTCTGGTCTCATTTGTAAAATTTTTCTTGAGTTTCTGCTTCTTGCAAGCTTTCGGCACCAGGTTTTTTTCTGTTTGCTTTCGCTTCATATACATGCTTATTTTCATCTTCAACGAGACTATCTTTGACGAGTGTTGATGTCAAAATTTTTCCGTGTTGCTTCGTTCTTCCTTTTTTATGTGCCTTTCAGATATCATGATAGTAGATAATGGAAACAGATCTTCGGTATGGGATTTTTTTAAAAACAAATCACAAGCACTACAGGAAAATTCTCGAGTGATGCTTGTGCAAAAGTAGCGATTCACGTTGCATTTGAATCGCTGGAGAATAAATTCATTTGGAAAAATGTTCTCAGGAAGTTTATTCTACATAAACGCAGTTCTACAAATGAAAGAGTTTTTAAACAGTGAAGTGTTGAGCTATCGCTCTTGGTGGAATCAAATGTGCCAAGTCACTTGAACACTTTCTGTGGAAGTATATATGAAAGAGAGACAAATCTCCAACAGTTCTTCGATGTTTCAGACTATCAATGTCCCAAGTGATGTTCGTGTCTCCAAATCAGGCGGATGGCTCTATTCTGGATGGAATCCAGCAGCTTCAGGGTATGCTTAGGGGCGGAGCTCCATACATGAGAACAATACTCCAAAGAAGGTCTGATCTGAGCTTTATGAAGCAAAAGTTGCTGAGGTGTGTACAGTTTTCTTGTTCGGAACAGTGTTCCAAACTTTTGAGGAGCACCCTTTGCAATTCCAGCGACATGATTGTGCCAAAACATATTGGTGTTAATTTTAACCCCCAACAAACTTTTCGAAGCAGAAAGCGAAATTATCTGTCCTGACATTATTATATCCGGTTCTGAGACATTTTTCCTCGGAGAAAAGCGATGCCTGGGTTTTTGTGGTGATAAATGCAACTTGGTTACTTTCACCGCAATTCGAGATCACTTCTTCTTAAGATTCTCATTAAGGTACGCAGCATCCTGCTGTCGGTGAAGATATGCATCCGCAACCGATATCCTGGAATCCAAATGAAATGACGGGACAAGTGTGCTGTCGTCAGCAAAACAGTATATTGGATTCAATATTCCAGTACCATTGTTGCAGTAGATGTCGATGGTATTGGATCAATTGCTGTAAATAATGATGATGGCATATGATATTTTTCTGCAGATGATGATTGATGAATCTTGAATTATTACTTCTGATGGGGTCAAGACTACTTCAGCATAAACGTTATGGGATAATACCTGATGCGCGGAACTCTGATTCGCCTTCAATTAAAAATGCCACAAATGAATAAGTTTTTTTTTTAATATAGCCGTCACGTCATTTTGAATTGTCTTTTTTGCTTGTCAGTTTTTTGAAAATATATCACACTTCCTTTTGGGTCTAAAAATGGGAAATCCAAGGGTTGCGACCTGTTGACTGTAGGGAGAGGTAGTGCCAGCATATGCATATTGTTTTTTTTAAAGGGATTCAAGAAGTTTGACTGACATGATTGCTGGGTATTGATAATACAGGATCCTGTGACGATGGCTTGGTAAAATTGGCGAAGTGTTGAAGCCACTCGAAGGATATCAAAGATGATCATGAGTGGTAGAATAGCGTAAGCTAAACTCCGCCGAAATAAAAATGAAGACACTTTTTTTTCATCGTTGTGTGCGCTGGTAAGGCCCTATCCTCCGAAGTCCCAATATATTTGGGGTAAGGGATCCTTGGATCCGAGAATCATGTGCCCTGAGCAAGCGCAGTGAGCCAAGAATGACAGCCTTCTGCATCTGTGCGGCTAAGATTTCTGCCTCATTGCGGCAAGCCGGTACTATTTCAAGATTTGAGAGTAGAGAGAGTATCATTCCACCAAGGACTCCAATAATTAGAACAACCATCTTGACAGAGTGATCTGGATAGAGTCTACGGAGTTCGAAGGAAAATTTTTCCTCCTCTTTTCTGACGATATTTGTCTCGCCAGGAGCTGAAAACTCCTCGACAAATATCGTTTTGTTCTGGTGGTCGAGAAGGACTACATCAGGCTTATTAGCTTGTATGAGTCTGAGGATGAGGAACGAATAGTTCCAATGAATTCGGCACTTCTCGTTCCCCACAACGGATTCAATATCCCCGGAGCGTAGGCAACACCGGTGTCTCGTCAATACCGTAAGAGTGTCGTAGATGGTAATATAGCACTCTTACGGCCGCGTTATGTCGATGGATATAGGCCGAGACCACATATGCTGGACATGCTAATAGCAAGTGCATTAGGGTATCGGGCGCCTCGCGGCAGGCCCTGCACCTTGTGTCAGAAACCTCTAAACCCATCACGAGACTGCGGTAGACTGAGGTGTTGAAGATACCATCCTGGCAAGCCATGATGAACCCCTCAGTTTCCGACTTCAGCCCACTCGACCTGAGAAAAGCGAACGTCAGGCGCTTTGATAAGCCAAGGTCTCCAATGTTATTGAAAAAGACCCCATGCATTGGCTTATTCTTCCGCAGAAGTAAGGCTTTTATCTGAGCTTTTTGTTGAACGGGTTCCAACTCGGTGACAGAGTTGTGGTCACCTCGGTCAGTGTCGAAAACTATACCGAGTTCATCAGTTGCTCGGGCAGATGCCCTAAAGAGAAATGCTCCAATTCCTCCTCTCTCATGGTCACGGACCATGCAAAGAAGAGGATCCGAACTCCTGACGACTTTACAGGCTGTATCCAGTATCATTCAGTCATGTAGACACTCCAAACTCAAAAGTCCACAGCCTTCCTGTTGTCGGGGGAAGTACAACAGTGGAACGGAAGATTTGGGATGCAAACTTTTACAGAGATGCATCATTTTTCGGGTCTTTACGTCGAGTTGATACAGCTCATCCCAAGTCCACTTCACTACTCCAAACGAGTGGAGTATGATTGGAACGGCAAGCATATTTGCTGCAGCAACTTTGTTCTTCTTCGACAGTTCCGATGACCAGATCTGTCGAAGTTTGTGCTGATACTTGCCGCGGAGAGTTTTTCATGGCTGTTACCTCTTGTGAGTGGCGTTGTTCCACCCCGATGTAAGTATACGTCTCTCCGGCATCCAAATGGTATAGGATGCTTCCATCTACGAGCTGCACATCCTCTCCGTAGTCCCCGCATCGTCCTCTTTTGAGATGGACCATTGCACATTTGTCTATCCCGAATTTCATATAGATAGCATGCTTGTACTTTTCCACCGGTCTCAAGGACTGATGAAGATCCTTCTCTTCAGAGGCATTAAGTTCAAGATCATTTATATAAAACAAATGGGTGACCTTATGCCTCCGGTTTCCAGGGGTGCCACAGTTATACCAATAGTGAGATGTATGTCTGCTGGATCGTCTTCCTAGAGCTGAAGTGTCATTATCTCTCTCGGAAAGATGAACATTGTTGGGTCAAAACCATCAGGAGCACTTACTCATGGCACATGAAATTGTAATATTTTTCCTTCTTTTTCGCCTCTTTTTAGGTCTTTGTGAGATGATATTCTACCTGGATTTTTCACTGTGGAAATACCTATTTCGTCGTACTCATAAACGCGAGTAAATTTATGTTTGTCCATTAGATCTCCCAATAGTCTGTAAAACAGTTCGGCTTCTTCTTCATTAGAGGTCGTTATTTTGTACATACTTGTAGCTTTAGGTTTCCGAACAGAAATGGCGTTTCTTTTCAAGAAGCCATGCAGCCAATAGCGTTCAGCTATTTCAGACGGACTCCGTTTCTCCAAAGAAGGGAACTTCTGAGTATGGCACACTCTCAGATTTTATAGGCAGCACTTGCTTGGTGGAAAACAAAAAACCACTATCGAAACTCACAAGTCTGCAAAAGAAAATTACCTTAAGAATTTGCTGTGCTCACAGAACTGTATCAGCAGGAGCCACGGGAGTGATAGCTGGAGTTCCTTCCATTGAATTTCTCATAAAAGAAATGCGGTAGAGGTACTTGGGAACAGCTAGAAGCATAACTAAGAAAAGTCAAGCAACTAGATGGCAAACCTGATAGAGGGCCACACTCAGAAGTCCCCTTCTTATGGAGAAACGGAGTTCGTCTGAAATAGCTGAACGCGATTAGCTGCATGGCTTCTTGAAAAAAAAAGCATTTCTGTTCGGAAACCTGAAGCTACAAGTATATCAACATAATATCGACCTCCAATAAAGAGGAAGCCGAACTGTTTTACAGACTATTGAGAGATATAATGGCAGTTATGGAAGGTGGACATATCACTTAATCCCAAATATACAAAATTGGACAGAGAGGACACATGGAGAGATGGATTACTAGCGCACGTAAGCTACACCAGGACACGGGTGCTTTAGAAAGTGGAATCCGATGAATGTCCATATTGTGGCATCCAGGATGACATAGTACATGCATTGTTCTACTTTGTCAAGTGGGAAGATATTCGGCATGAATTCATGTAACTTGCAGGGGTACTTTCGTAGCAGAGAATATAATGAGAAAATTCATTGTCAATGAAGAGAACTGGAATATCACATATGGAGCAATTCAATTCATAATAGACAATAAGGAGAATGGGGTTGAAACGTTATACTTCAACATTTCACATTACTTCAATCTTCTATTAGGAGGTTGAAGTGGGAGGTTCCCGTGGGAGGAAGAGTTGAGGAGAAGGAGGAGAAGAGGTTTGTGTTTAGAGGTTTCAGTCGGTGAGAATGCGGCACGAGTTTCCTAACCGCCGTTGGGTGGAAGGAGCAATCTATGAAGATTTTTCTTTCCTCAATAAAACAAAGAAAGGCACTTTCGTATAGATGATAGAACGCTGATCACAATTGACATCTGATTCCCATTACCCTTTATCTTTTCAATCAATGATAAATTTGACTAGAACTCAAGTTTTTGACTTTTTACTGAACATTAAGTTGCTTCTGGTACATAGTCTTCAGAGTAACATCTTGAGTTTCCTGAAGTTTCAGTCACTTTCTTCTATTTTAGGATTTTCAGTATTTCATAGACAGAGGATTCTATTACAATGAAAAAGATGACCCTATATCAGCTCATCTATTTGCTTTGGATGAGAAAAGTTGGAAAAATATGAGAATAAAACTGACTCCCACATTTACTTCTGGAAAAATGAAAATGATGTTTCCAGCTGTAGTTCAAAAGAGTCGATATATGGTTGATGCTATCATTAAGTGTGCTGAAAATAATGAAGATGTGGATATAAATGAGGTAGGTTTTTCTCTTACAGTTCTACCACTTTTCTGATTCTCTACTTACATTTCCTTCTCCAAACTATTTATCCTAATTGACCTTCGCTTTTTTTGAACGTGAATTGTTTTGTTTTCTTTTCTTCCAAATTAACTGAACGCTAATACTCCCTTCAACTTAATACTTCATTTTCAGGAAAATAGCACCACAAAAAATATTTATTCTATTTCTACAAGACATCTACTCTCATTACTTCGTAGTTTTTGTTATTTTTCCACAGTTTTCGAAATGTACCGTTTGTTGTGTAGTGCCTTGAAATTTAATAGTAACATTTTGTCGAAAGTAGTATCATCTATTCTGCTAGTTTTTTATTGATTGATAGCAGGTGGGTGGTTTGCTCCACCCACTTCAACCCACCTCACATATCGGTGTGAACCGGTGGTTCGAACCGCAAGGTTGGAAAATCAATTTTCACTTCCTATCGTCCAACCCACGTTGAAAGGTAAAACCTCGTTATTCCTCAGCTCACACAAGTTTTGACTTTTGAGAGTTGTCGTTCGTAGGGGAGTGACAGCCGGTTGACGGAAAAACAGATTTAAACAGATTTTTTCAACAGATCTTTCGAGTTCTGTCTTATTCAGAATATTGAATGTTTTTTATAATTGTATGTATTTTTCAGGATATACGGTGTCTGTCAAAAAAATATTTATTTATTCATCATTTTTTATTTTGTCCCCTTCAAAGTAGTCCCCTTCAGATGTAATACCCTCGTGCCAGTTTTTTTGACCTCGAAGCAGTTCTGATATGCAGTTTTCAGTATGATATTGTTTTATTTGACCACATTATGTATACACATTTGTAGCAAGTCGTACAGAATACACAATTTGAAGTTACACAATAAGAAAAATAAAATATACAAAAAGGATTTGAAGCTTTATATCTTTTTTAATTATCTGCGAGCGCTTTCGACAGTTGGTAGTACTGTCATCATCTGGCACTTTGGCAGCTTAATGTGGGCGGAAAGTTTATTGAAGAGGTTCAAGTCTAGCGAATTTTTGGTCAAGGTAGTGAGTCTGTATCGCGGATTGATCAACTGATTATCGTTTCTTGTATTATAATTATGCGTATCGGAGTGAGTATGGTAGATACCAATTTCTTGTGGATCTGTAACAGGCAATAAAAGATATACGCTGAATATAGTGACATAATTTTGAATTCGGTGAAGTGGTTTCTACAAAATTCCTTATATCACACATAAGCAAATATCCGTATGACCTTATTCTGTATTCGGAGAACTTTAAGTGAGAGACTAGATTTTCCCGATAGTCGTATACCATAAGTAATGTGTGAATTGAACAGGGCAAAGTAAGATATTCTCAATGCTTCGAATCGAAACTGGTTACTTTTTTCAGTTGTCTTAGTAGATAGAGTTGATTAGAAAGTTGCACAGTTGGTCAACATGACAGTTCCATTTCAAAGAATAATCCAAGGTTATACCCAAAAGTTTAACTTTATTAGCTGAGTTCACACGACAGTTAGTTGAAATGGAAATCCTTTGGCATTTATTAGGATTTTGTTTCAATGTATTTCTTAGAAACCATTCTTTCGCTCTACGCTCCGCCAATTCCATTGAATTTGACAATATTTCCTTATTAACATGTGATTCGTATATAGTTACATCATCTGCGAACATCATGCATGATGGCGGTGACAAATTTTGCGGTAGGTCATTGATATATAAAATAAATAGGAGAGGACCTAATACAGACCCTTGAGGTACCCCATGTTTGATGATTCGAAACTCTGATTAAGGTAGGAGGAGAAAAATTCGTAAGCTGTTCCACGTATTCCATAATATTCAAGTTTCTGAAGAAGTATTGTATGAGAAACACAGTCAAAAGCCTTGCTGAGGTCGCAAAGTGTCATGGCAATTACTTTAAGTACCTGCTTCAACGCTCTCAACTATATCGCCCATCACCTCCTCCACGGCTTGAACCGTGGATCTACAACTTCTGAAACCGAACTGTCTATTATTTAGAATTTTATATTTTTCCAAGTACAGTATTAATCTGTTTTTCACAAGTTTCTCTATTAACTTCCCAATAATCGGGGTTATCGAAATAGGTCGGCAATTTGCTGGGCTGTCCTTGTCGCCACTTTTGTGAATCGGAATAACTTTGGTTGATTTGAATACATCGGAAAAAATTCCAGTCAAGAAGCACATATTGATTAGGTTGGTTAGGAGATCTAGTAAACCATTAGCAATTTTTTTCAATATTATACTGTTCAATCCATAAATGTCGTAACAGGGGGAATTTTTCATGCTTTTTATTCCAGCCAGTATTTCATCCCCAGTTACCGGAGAGAAAAAAAAGGAGCTTTCTATTCTAGGGAGATTGTTCAGGAACTGTTCGGAAAGCTTATCCGTTTTCTGCCAACTTTTAGTGAGTTCCTCTGCCACCTTACAGAAGTAGTCATTGAATTCGGAAGGAGATATATTTGATTTCACTTCCGTGTTGTTTTTTTTATTCCTTTCATAGTTTATTAGTTTCCAGCAATCTTTGTTTTTATTTTTAAACCCATATATATAATCATACGCAGTTTTTTTGGGAATTCAATACAATTTTTATAATAGTTTTTATATGATTTATAGATCTGTATGTCCTTGTGAGAGTTACTTGCGTAACTCACTATTTTCAAACATGAAAAGTTGTCCCTCATCCCTCTAAGATTATCATTAAAAAAGTTGACAATTGGTTTGTTTACATTCTCTACTTCAATCAGAGCTTCGTAGCCAATTTTTTAAGAAAATTTTCATTTACAATGTTGATTTTGTTAACATTGTAATGTGTAGGAATATTCCAGCAGGTACTACTCAATTCATTATTCATTTTTTCCAAAGAGTTCGGTATCATTTTCCGTTTAATTATCATTTTTTTAGGAATATTTCAGTATTCGAAGTTTTCAATAAATTGTCCTCTGTGATCAGATAGGCATGTCTCTTTTATTTCGGTTTCGCATTTTGTGTTATCGATGTTTATAAGTATGTTATCAATGTTGTTCTTGAGTTCTCTCAGCGATCCGGTTTTTGCATTCTCAATCGTCGCAAAACGTCATACTTTCATTAGTATCTTCAATTTTGGTAGCAGGAAAAAGTCGCAGAGCACCAAATCTGGTGAATATGGTGGCTGAGGCATGATTGCGGTGTTGTTTTTAGCCAAAAGAATTACAAACAAGCAATGATGAGTGAGCAGGTGCATTATCATGATGCATGAATTGTTTCTCCACAATACTGGACGTTTTCTTCGAATTGCTTCTCGTAAGCGGTGCAACTTCAAGACAATACTCCTTATTAATCGTACGACCATGTGACAATAGCCCCTGATGCACTATGCCACGATAATCGAAGTAAACAGTGAGCAAAACCTTGACATTTGATCGAACTTGGCATGCTTTTTTTGTTTTGGTTCTCCTGGGCTTATCCATTATGACGATTGGACTTTGGTTCTGATGTATCAACTAAATACTAATGATTCGTCACCAGTTATGAACCTTTCAAGAAAATTTGGATCGCCGTTGACGTCATTCAACAATTTCTGAGCGATGCTCAGATGTTAAATGTATCCTGGACCATATAATTCTTGAAGAACACATCATTGATCATAAACTAGAGAACAAATTTTTAGCCCTCAACATAGACAACAAATTAAAATTTGGAACGCATATGCAATGCAAAAAATTATACTCAAGTTGTTATGCGATAAGGTCTATCTCTAACTCTTGGGACTATCACTCTGCTATAAAAGCATACTTTGCACTTTTCGAGTCCCACTTGCAGTACGGAATTTGTTTCTCGGGAAGCAGCTGTCAAAACTTATTGAGTCAAGTTTTCACAATACAAAAAATAGCAGTGAGATTCATTACCGGAGCTAGAGTGCAAGATTTCTGTAAGCCTCTTTTATAGCAAATCACAGCTTAACAGTTTACATGTCTCTTCATTTTAGAAACAGTCTGCCTAATGCACAAAGATAATCACAGACTTTTACCATAAACTTTCTAAAGTGTGTTTGGGCCATATTAATATCTTGCTTTACATTCTTGATCTTTACTGTTTCAGATTGTTTTAGTTCTCAAGCCTGCTTTGTCAACAAAACCTAAACTTCTATGACAATAAAGCGACTCTGACTCTTCTCATGCGACGGTTTTTTTAGTAGAAATTCAGCAATTTTTGAACAAACTTCGCTGCCACACGTTTCATGCTCGAAATTCACAAAAAAATGTATGTCATGAGCCAACCGATATGCCGACATCCTCAGCAGCATCTCCAATATCTCCATAAAAATTTCCTTCACTTCCTCGACATTTTCATCGGTTGTTGATGTGCTGGTTGATGTGACGAATTCACATCTTCTCGACCTTCTGTGAAAAGTTTGTACCACTTGTAAACATTTTTCTAACTCAGAGTACAATCAACGTATGCCACTGTCAATATTTCAAGTGTTTTTGAGTATTCCATTCCATTTGTCGCACAAAGTTCACCTTATTCTTTGAACAGTCCACGTATAAATCATGTTCTTTACTAATTTATTCCAAAATAAAATCAATTACATAGTTTTTAGCTAAGTTCACTACAGACGTCATTGGCGATTGTGCTTTAGGAATGGAATGTAATAGCTTCACCAATCCACAAGCAGAATTCAGAACAGCCGGGCGAAAATTAAAAAAATTTAATGGTATTCTACATCTGCTCCAGGTAACAATAACAAGCAATTCACCAGACTTGGCTCTGAAGTTAGGTGAGTGTTAAATAGCATAGCATAAGTAAAATTACTGTCTTTGGACGAAAACTTGACCCCCCTGTATGCCAGAAACGAACGCGTAATCGAAAGTTTCAAAGAACACGTAAAAAAAAAGAAAATTCGCTGTCGCTCATTTTTTTGAGGAAATCAACAGAAGTAGTATCAATGGTAATACAATCAAGGGATTCAAAATGACATCCATCTTGTACAGTCTACTTTCGAAAGCGTTCTTTACATTACTGAAGAAGTCCGGAGTCAGAAATCGGCATTCCCGAACATTTCTCTGTCGCAGGTCTTCTAGATTTATAGAATTTATTCAATTAGTACGAACAAACAGTCCATTTTTAAATATTTACTACTAAATAAATAAATTCTACAAATCTAGAAGACCTGCGACAGAGAATTGTTCGGAAATGCCGATTTCTGACTCCTGAGATCTTCAATAACGTAAGGCATTGTAGGAAACGCTTTCGAAAGTAGTGTGTATTATTGTATGGAACTAGATGGAGCTCATTTTGAACACTTCATCCGTTGGTTGTGTTTGTTGCCATCGATATTAATTTTGTTGATTTACTCAATAAAATGAGCGACAGGCGAATTTTCAATTTTTTTCTTAAATGAAACGTTCAAAATTTAATTTCCCAATAACGAATGAACCAATTTCGAAAAAAATTACAGTAGTAATAGAAGGACAAAAGACCTTTCAAATGATATATCACTCGACTCCTCATGTCATTGAGAAAAATAGGGGGTAGTTGCTGACCGCAGGGGGGTAAAGTTTCGGGTATCACTTCCATATCAGAATTAGTCCCCCTAGAAATAAAAATCGACGTGTTCTTTGAAATTTTTCAATGACTAATCGTGTGCAGTTGCACAGCCGTGGTGGACTCAAATTACGGAGCGATCGAACCTTTAGTTGTAAATCAAGCAGTGGCATGTCTGGCAAATCCAATGAGCTCAAAAACTCTGTTGGATAATTCACACCTTCGATGGCTTCGCAAACTGTATCTATCGTTTAATCNGAAAAAATAACCCTGAGTCTACTTGCAAAGTTTCAATTTTCATTGCATCTGAACTAAGTAACCGATGCCTTCTACGCTGGCCACAACTGTTGGTTGAGGTACGACGATTTCTCGGTCAAGACCTTGCGAAAAGAATACGTGCTGAAACCTGAAGCCCCAGGGAATGCGAGTTTCTTATTTGTTGTTCTACAGGCACAGCGATACGATCCAAACTAAAAACGCCCTCTGAGGAGATGAGCGTGCTTAGCTTCTGGGATCGTACAGGATTTCCAAATTTCATTTTTTGTTGGTTTCAGTGAATTTTTCATCTCCATATCTTGTTGAATTGAACAGTTAAAAGTGAAATTGCCAAACTGAATAATGGAATATAAATAATAAAAAATAATTTTCTCACTTCGAACTAACATGAAGGAACGAATTGAAGTACTATGGAATGTTTTTTTTAAGGTTTTCCAGCCGTGGAAAAAGATATATCAGATTTCTTCAGGATGGCAGTAAAAAAAGGAGTACAGTACAGAAAAGACAACAATGTTACTAGACCAGATTTTTTTCAACTACTGATTAATATGATGCAGGAAACCAAAAATAATGACAAGCCTTTTACTATGGACCAGTTGGTGAGTTATTGAGCTTTCATCAGTTGAAAAAAGTATAGAAAATTTTTGAGAGTCTATGAAAGTTTCTCTTTTGATACTCAGACTGATTCATTCGAACTCTGTAGACGCAACGCAGGTAGTGGCAACAACCCAGGTAAATGGTAGTATCCATCTCCATAAATTACGAAACAGACTTCGAGTGAATCAGTCTAGTATAGTATTTCCAATACCAATTGGAACAGCAAAAAATAATATGCCCACATAGGCGTCGGCATATTATTTTTCAGTGGTAGTTTTTCAGTTACTTATTCTTACAATCATANGTTGACTCGCATATTCTATTCACAACAGCATTCTGTGAATATTTCACATTCATGAATATTTAAAATTACTCACTGAACTTGAACATGTGAGTCCTTATTTTCAAATTCCGGGTCCCTGTCGATTGACACAGATTCCTCATACGTAATGTTATCATTTGTTTCGAAAGGTCTCCAGAAAGCCATATTTACTGTTGACAAATTAATTCGTATATTTAGGTATATAAACAGCTAACCCTTGTCTTTAGATTCAGTATCAATTTGCTTCTCCTGAAGATGCTAACCTTGTTAGCGAAACGCGCGACAAGTGCAAAAATATCAGTTTGGTGTTAGGGTAAATGATCTCTAGAAAAAGTATTCAAAATCAGTTTCAGCAAAGAGCTTCGACAGCCGGGCTCAATGAAATGCGCAACCCGACAACCCCGGATTACATTCGAAGAGTCCTTGAGGATTCCAAGAACTTTTCTGCTCCAGATCCAGATGAGCTGAACACCTATTGGTGAAAAAACTACCAAGCATCCACCGCCATCTGGCTAGAGTTTTCAACTCATGGCTGGACGGAGAGCAGCCGATTCTGGATTGGTTTGTCGAGGGATGAACCGTTTTCACCCCCAAAAGGGAGATTTGACAACTCGATTCCTTAGAGTTAGTTACAGGCCGATAACATGCTTAAATTCGTGTTGTAAGTTGTTCAGTGCACTTGGCCAAGTGTTCGAACGGATAAATGAGCAGGGAAGGTCGAAGAGAGGAGTCGCTGGATGTGAAGAGGACCTGCTTATCTATAGATGTGTAACGCAGGACTCGATACAGTATAGGCATAACCTCTCTATGACCTGGATCGATTACCGCAAAGCATTTGATATAACATTGCATGAGCTCATTTTTCGTTTGGTCAGATACCTTGCGACAAAATAGTGAGATGCCTTGAACAATTGATACCACTCTAGCTGACTCGCCTCACCATAACATCTGGTCAGGCTAGAGTCTAAACAGTTCCTTTCTATTCTGCACCAGAGCTAGACGATATTTGTCGTGGAGTTTTCAGCTTCTGTCGAGACAGATATCGTCCGAAAAGAGAAGGAAAAACGGATAAAATATCGAAATTTTCCCTTCGAACTCGGCATACTCTATCCAAACCACTCCGTTAAGATGGTTGTTTTGATTAGTGCAATCCTTGATGGAATGATGTCCTTTCTGTTCTCGAATCTCAAAATCATGCCGGCTTGATGCACTAAGTTAGAAATCTATGCCGGACAAATGCAAAAGGCTGTCATTCTTGGCTCTCTACGCCTGCTCAGGCACGCCCTCTCAAATGTATCAGGGCTTAGGGGATTAGGGCCTGACCAGCGCAAACTTAAATAAAAGAATTTTATTCAGTATGCAGGGAGAAAATAACAAAAATTCGAAATACGTGGAAAGTATTCGTATTCCTTATACGAGTACTTACTGAAACGGGTCATATTCACACATCTGAGAAACACTCACGCCGTCGTTGTTTGGAACTGTATCCTAATGTTTCGTCAGCACGAGTGGCTGGCTTCTTCAGAGGTCTATTCATCCTGATAGTTCACCGATGACTAGTGATTTCTAGTTCGTGAGATGTATTTATTGAAATTTTCCTTTCGAACTCGGCATACTCTATCCAAACCACTCCGTTAAGATGGTTGTTTTGATTATTGCAATTCTTGATGGAATGATGTCCTTTCTGTTCTCGAATCTCAAAATCATGCCGGCTTGATGCACTAAGTTAGAAATCTATGCCGGACAAATGCAAAAGGCTGTCATTCTTGGCTCTCTACGCCTGCTCAGGGCACATGATTCACATACCCAATGATCACTTACCCCACTGTATGGGGAGTGGTGGTTGGTTGATAATGCTGGCACGCCCTCTCAAATATATCAGGGATTAGGGGATTAGGGCCTGACCAGCGCAAACTTAAATAAAATAATTTTATTCAGTATGCAGGGAGAAAATAACAAAAATTCGAAATACGTGGAAAGTATAGATTCCTTATACGAGTACTTACTGAAACGGGTCATATTCACACATCTGAGAAACACTCCATTGTAAATATTACGATCTTCGTTCGGGTTTGAACGCCGTCGTTGTTTGGAACTGTATCCTAACGTTTCGTCAGCACGAGTGGCTGGCTTCTTCAGAGGTCTATTCATCCTGATAGTTCACCGATGACTAGTGATTTCTAGTTCGTGAGATGTATTTATGTTGACACAGGCAGCCTGCCTTTCTAGTTGGTGCGTTGTTATAGGCCGAAGTGTTATTACCTGTTACATTGCGTTGCATATTTGGCCGAAGTGTTATTACCTGTTTCATTGCGTTGCACTGCTGCCTCCTTAGCATCTTTTAGTAAAGGATCCCAAATTCGGTTAAGCGTTATCGCTTCCTCTTTTCTGTAGTAGTTTTCTGTATGTTAATGGATTTTTATGGCTTTCCGTACAAGCTGACTGTAGTATCCATGATCGAGTGCAAAGATGACCATCAGGATGAATAAACCTATGAAGAAGCTGGCGAAACGTTAAGGTGCGTATTCACCAAAAAAGCGAGCACGAGCGGGCATTCGTGTATGTTTGCTCGTGTTCGCTCATGTTCGCTCGTGTTTGCTCGACATATTGATGTCTCGTCCACACCAGAGCGAAATTTCAAGTTCGTAGTCGTAGTTGATCCATCTACTTTGTGCGAGCACCTTTTGATGTACCGTCTTCTTCTAGATCTTTTCTGAACGAGAACAAGCATACGTTCGCTCGCTCGCTAGCCCGTACTCACCAGACGATTATTGATGCAGAATGCTCGTTCAGTCTTGTTCACTCGTGCTCGCTTTTTTGGTGAATACGCACCTTTAGAATACAGTTCCAAACCACGACGGCCTTCAAACCCGAACGAAGATCGTAACACTGAAAATCTTGGCCACAAAAGCCTTAAACAATTCACTTAATTGTGAGATATTCACTGAACAATTCACAACACGTGTTTTACTATACAATAACTTTCTCAGTCATGTCTATACTCTTGAGTGTGACAGCTTGAGGAAGCAATTGTATAGTATATGTAACACATGTTGCGGTTTTGTAAACTGTTTAGAGAAAATAACACAATGTAATTAGAATAATTCTTCAATATATATTTCGAAGTTCTGATTACATTACTCTGCTTTTTCATTAATGAATTCCACCATACAAATTATTTAAAGAGATGTCATACCCAACAGGTTGCTCAAGTGTTCCTTTTCTTTGTTGCTGGTTTCGACACGTCTTCTTCCACGATGAATTTCGCTTTGTATGAGTTAGCACAAGCCCCCGATATTCAGGACAAACTGAGAAATGAAATCAATGCTGTATTGAAAAAACACAATGATGAAATCACCTATGAGAATTTGAAAGAAATGCAGTATCTCCAGCAAGTATTAGATGGTGAGAATATTTCAAAATATTGACGATTTATAATAGAAATTCCCTTCTTTACTTTCTATCAAGCAATCGATCAATCAAAATGGGTTTAATTGTATTGAATACAAACTTATTGACGAAGATTGTATAGAAAAAAATGTAGTGGAATGTGAAAAGTAATCAGTTATAAATACGTAGTGATACATACAGCGTGACTCACGGTCGATGGTAGGTTAGACGTTTCTGGAAAACGCAAAGCATGATTTTTCTGAAAATTTCACCTCTCACATTTCCTTACCTGTTCTATCGCTCTAAAATATTTTCAGCATTGTGGCGTTGCCAATTCTATCAAAAAGTTCTAGCAATTATATTTTTTTAAATGGAACACCCCATATATTAATACATTTTTGGAATCGCTCTAGTATTATAATACTTTTTTGTCAATGATGTCCTATACCTATCTCTACCTGTTT